GGGGAACGACACTCACCTGACAGTCATCTCGTACAGTGCAGGCAGCTGGGCAAAGTCCGAGTGCATGAGGCTGACGGCCCGTAGGAAGCGGCGGTCCTGGGGGGTGGCCACCTGTGGTAGGTTTGCTTCCGGAAGAGGACACAGAAGTTGTGGGTAGCGGACTCCTCCCCCACCCTCCCCACCCCCAGCACTATAAGCAGGGCGAGCAGGGGGCTCAGGGCCATGAGAGCCAGCACCCAGGGTGCTGGGCCCCTTCAGGTTGCCACCATGAGACAGAGAATGAGCAGCACTGGTGTCTGCCCATGAATACCAAAATCTCAAGGCAGACCTTATCACAGATATTTGAACATGTGTGTGCTTCTCTCAAAATGTTGGAGAAACAACCAAAAAAAGACAAATGAGTAAGGAAGTGTTTGCCAGTCGAATTCTAAACTCAGTGGGAGCTGGCTCCCAAGCGAGAAAGCAGCATCCTAACTGCCGTCCACAACTCTGGGCACAGCACCAACCCTGGGGGCGCCGGCCCCGAGTCCTCACCCCCACCCCTGTCTACGAGGCACCCGGGCCCCATGCGCCTCTCCTTACCGGTCAGCACGTTCTGGATGCGGTCATAATGCGTGAAGCTGTACGTCCTGCTGGGGGAGGCAGCCACGTCTTTGGGCAGCGTCTCCTTCAGGTGGACCTCCAGCCCGTTCAGGGACGCCAGGCTACTGTGGTACTGGAAAGGGGCGGCACGGTTAACCTCAGCAGGCCAGTGCTTAGGAAATAACGAGCCGAAGATTACCCGAGTGGCCACCTGATGTAGCAGAAAGAACTCTGACTGGTGTTTTTACCTGCTTTTAGAGAAGTAACTCCTGCCCTTACGTTCTTTTTTTTTTTAAGATTTACTTATTTGAGAGAGACAGAGGAAGAGAGAGAGGGAGCGAACGTGGGGGGTGGAGAGGCAGAGGGAGAGAGAATCTTAAGCAGGCTCCACATCCAGTGCGGAGCTCCACACGGGGCTCGATTTCACAGCCCTGAGATCATGACCTGAGCCAAAACCAAGAGTCGGACACTTAACCAGCTGAGCCACCCAGGCACTGCCCTTATGTTCTGATGCTTTCTTAAATTGTAGAAAAATCAGAAAATAGAGGCGAACAGAAAAGCTAAGGAAGAAAGCGAAGTTCGGATTTCTGTATCCACAGGCGACGTGTTACTGGAACACAGCCACTCCGTTTATTTACATGTTGTCTACGGTGATTGCACTACAGCAGTGGAGCCGGGAAACTGTACAAGGCTGAAAACACGCGCCAGGTGTTCCTTTACGTTAAACATTTGCCAACCCCTGATACACACTAGCACACACATGACCCTCACAACAGCCCCAGGAGACACGAAGCCGGGCTAATTCCTGGATCCTCCAGCTTCTAGTCAGTAGTAAAGCAAGTGGCTTGAATGTCAGCGTGTGCCATGATGTGCGGAATAACACACCTTCTCCCAAAGCACCCGTTTCACGGGGGAGGGGTGCATTTTCATGAAGTATTTTACACTAATACCCTGGCACTAACCTCAGGCCTCATCTACTGTACACGGACAGCTCCAAGTCCCACTGTAGCAATGAATAACTGATCTGATCCCTGTATTTGAAGGTCAGTAAGATTATCTTGGGTTTCAAGCAGGAAACTATCAGTGGCTCTATGCTGCCCCCTGGTGTGAGCGTACTGTTTTCTCAGACCCATTGGCAACCTCTCCTGGCTGCTCCCCTCGCCCACCCCCTTCCACCAAGCTCCCCGTCCCCACCCTCAGCAAACATAAAGAGGTGGCAGTTCATCCACTGAAAGACAAGATGGCAAATGACACGAGGGTCCCTTGGTGGTGTATAATATGATCATGGAGCCCTTTCAAAGTGGTGGGGGAGCTCACTGTCCTATCTGAACTGGTTTACCATGCTGCAGGGGACCTGCTTTTCTTGACAGCAGGAGAGGGGAAATCAGGTCAAGTATTTTGTATGCAGTTCCAGGACAAAAAGGCAATAAAAGATCTCTCCCAATTATAAAACAGACAGCCTTCAGGCCTGATCAATAAAGCCCGCTCTCAAACCAGCAAGCTGATCAAAGTTAGTTAGTCCCGACTGTTTTTAGAAAAGAGGAGTTTTTCTTTTTCATTACACTGCATCTCTTTCCTGGGGCCTGTCCCACACCAAACCCTCCTTTGCACGAAAGCCCAGGGAGGCCGCTGTGTCAGGACAGGAGTCCTGCATGACAAACCAAGGCCAATCACTCCGGGGTCAGATCAGTGGGGGAGCAGATGGGAGGGGGCAGGGAGACAAGGAACACGCCAGGATTCTGGACCCTCCACTTTGTCTTCTTCCTGGTAAAACGGGAGTTTCGGTGCCTACCCCCAGTGCTGCGCTCAGGCTTGGCTGGAATAGCAGACATCAAGGCTTTAGCATCCACTGAATGCAGACTACATTTTAATTTACTTCCTTCCTCAGGAGCAGCCTATGCTATTTTTTTTTTTCTTTTTCTTTCTTCTGGGCGGGGCGGGAGGAGGTAAAGATAGCATATCCAACTTCATTGCATCCAAATGCTGGGCCTTCAAAATAACCTGTCTGCAGCTTGGGGCGAAGCAGAAGAGGCCCCGAGTACCAAGGCATCGTCAGGGAGACAAGAGATGGAACACCGCGACCCCGCGGGCCCCGGGGTGCTGGTGGAAGGGGGAGGGTAAGTCCCTCACGGCTGCGGGGAAAGAGGTGCAGGAAGCAACGCAACCACCACTGGGTGCTGTGCAGACTGTGGAAAGCGGAGATAAGCCAGCAGGCCGGGAGAGGGGCAGCCTCTCACCTGGGGCTCGGCGCAGAGGAAGCTGCCTTCCCTCCTCTGCAAGCTCCAAGGTGACTGAGCCTGAGCCCTGCATGCTAATAAGATCGCCTCAGAATAATACAGATTTAAGAACAGAAACAAGGCAAGCCCCAGGACACCATTTGCCCTGCAGCTATTTCAACCTCCTGTTCTTCCTGCTACCACTTCCCTGCCAACCAGGCGAGGCTGTTACTATAGCAACTGGAGCTCCAGCGTGGGCCTAGGCTGCGAGAAGGCCAGTTCACGCTGCCCCAAGTGCGGAAGGGGCTGGAATGCTTTAAGAGGAGCCTTCTGGAGCCCGTTAGCATTTCAGATGTCCCAAACCCGCTAGGAAGGGGCCACAGATCACCACGGTTCAGTGGAGGGAAAGCACAGCCTTCTGCGATACTCCCCATCCGGGCTGTGACTCGGGCAGAGTACAGACTCCAGGCCACACACAACCTACAGCCGCCCAGGCTGGGAAGGGAGGCCACCGGAGCTGGTGGCAGTGGCCGCGGCACCACCCTGGCCGTGCTCCCCATCTTCACCTGTGTGATGCTGCTCGCGCTGCACCTGAAGGGCAGGGCCCGTCAGCACCCCGACGCTGCTGCGGGGGAGGCCAGAGCATCCCTGCCCTGCGCTCTGGGAAAACGGAAGAAGTGGCAAAGGGCCAGGGAACTGACTTTGTGGGACACCTCTGCCCCCAGCACTGTGCGCTGCACTGGACTCACTCACCCCCAGCCAAGCCGGGCCGTAGGCACGACCGTCTTCCGCGTGTGGAAAGCAGGTGGGATGGCCTACAAGGTCCTGCAGCCCTGCGCGGTGCTGCCGGAGGGGAAAACCTGCCCTGCTCATCCCCGCTCCCGGGAGCCAGGCCTGCACACACTCACCACCTCCTCGATGGCAGCATCGTCACCCAGCAGCGGCTCCTCGGCCAGCAGGGACAACACCAGCCCGTTAACACTGTGGGTGTAGAGGTTCATTGGCACGAGGCCCACACAGGATGCTGGGGTTGACCTTGGGGCACTTCCGTGTGCGGAGGGACCGTAGTCGTCCTGAGACTCTGCCAAGTCTGAGCTGCCAGGTGCTGAGCAGCTGTCGTGCACCCCAACACGCTGCTCCACGCCCTGGTCCCCCACGGGCAGTGTGGTTCCTCTCTGCCTCAAGTCTGAGCAAGGCCGTGACTGAGGCCTGCTTGTCCTTCTGGGGAGGTGGTCTTCCCTGGGAAAGGGGGCTAGGCTGCTGTCCTCTGGGAGGCCGTCGTGCTGTTCCAGGGCTCCGTTCTGACTGAGCATCTCAGGAGTGGACGGAGAGAGGAGGCTGCTGATGGCCATGGCCACGACCACGGGCGGGGTGTCAGGTGGCTCGGGTTCCCGGTCACCAGAGTCCCTGACAAATTCCTCAAAGGCAGGACCACCACCATCTGGGGCGCCCATATTCGGGAGGGCAAAATAACCTGAGGCTGTTGCCGTTTCCTGAGCTTTTGGAATGTGGATGGCAGACAAGTCTGGCTCCTCCCCCGCCAAGGGCAGACGAAGTTCCTTCACCAGGGAGTAGCCAAGACCGGGACCCTCGTCCCTGGCAGGGCTGTGCAGTTTTGCAGGCCTGACGTTCTCCAGATCACGGCCAGCCAAGAGCCCGTTCTCCGCCTTGCCATCTGGCCATGCTACGTCAGGACATGCAGACTTGGGAGTGGCTGCCAGCATCCAGGCCGTGGGCTCCACGTGGCCAGTGGCACTGTCTGTCGGGGCAGCGGTGCTCCGAGGCTGTGGGTGCTGCTGGGCTGAGCACTCCTGGAGTCCAGCCGGCACTGTAGCAGGGCTGGCAAACAAGGCAGACGTTGAGGGAGGGGCGCCCGGCCAAATGCAGGGCAGGTGCCCTTCCCTGGAGAACACTAAAGAACCGCTTCCCTAAAAAGCAGGGCCACTGGTGACAAGTGGGTGCCCGAGGCCACAGAGCTGAAGAGGCCTTGGTGGTCAAACCACAGGAGTGAAAGGAAGGCACTGTCTGGCCCTCAGGGCTTCACACGGTGCTACCAGATCACCTGCTGGAGACAGCAGGGCCCGCTGCGTGAGAGCCAGCCCCACGTGCAAGTCTGCTCTGAGTCAGGGCCTGGACTGGATACCATACGTACACTATTTCCCATTTTAACACCTAGCCCATGGAGTAGGTTATCACTGGGTCTCTTTTACAGACGAAAACCCTAAGGCTCTGGCAGGGAATGGATTTGCCCAAGGTCACACAGCTGACAGGTGACAGATCTGGGACTTGAAACCCACAGCTGTCTCACGATGCCAGGTGCCTGTTCTACATGCTCGAGTCCCAGATGCTCCTTCCACGGCAGAGCATGGGGAATATGGCATACGGAAGGCTAGGATGTCCAGGGGCTTGTGTGCATACACCCACTTGAGGGAGTCCCTCCAGCACGGTCTACCAGGAACCCCTGTGGCTCCGGTACCTCGTTGCCTGCTCCCTTGGGAACTCGTGGAGACTGGTGGCCTCCTCTTTGGTCAGGAACACAGGCATGATCCGGACATTCGGGGGGAGCACCGCTCCTGGAATCACAAAGCAACACGGACAGGGCTCAGCCCTGGGCTGGGGAAGATGGAGGGGCAGTCACCGCACTTTGGGGGGACGCATCCAACCCACACGCCTGCTCAGAGAGGAGCGCTCTGACATGCTCCTCAGCCCAGAACAAAAGACACGAACCCATAGCTACCGTTTCCGTGCCCAGCAAGCAAGGAGCCCTCACGGGCAGCTTTACTCCTCGTTGTGGAGAAAAGTGACTTTTGGGGGGAAGAAAATCTAGTGGCACTTAAAAAAAGACAAAAACAAAAACAGATAAAAGCTGGAAAAAAGCACTTCCAACTGACAACAGGGATCTGCCCTAACTTGGGCTTCAAAATAAAACAAAATAACCGTCTCAGGGACACCTCCACATCCTGCAGAAGGTCTTTCTGGCCGCTGCCATTTATCTTAGCCTCTCCTAACCAGGATCCCCTGGACCTAGTTTGAGCAGCCTCGTAACAATGAGGGAGGGAGCATCTGAAAACAGGGATTTAGAAGGTACATCTAAAATCATGAGCCTTACGATCAGGATTCTGATGGCTAACTTTGTTCTTAAAGCTCTCGTCTGTTCTCCTAATCTATGAACAGATGAGATAACCCATGGGACTGCTTGGCCTCTCCCATGACTTGTGTAAGGGACAGGCAGCATAGCAGACCGCGTTCTCAAGATGTAGTGAGGCACCTTGCCACTCACCCCGTTCCTGCGGGCCACCCCCTCCTGCAGGTCTTCTCTGCAAATAAACACACACAGAAGTTGGCGCCGGGGACCGCTTTCTCCTCCCGACCCAATCATGACTGCGCCGGGCCATCTGTTCGGGAAACTTAGCCAGGCCCAGAATGTTGGCCCCCACCGCACGCCAGCAGCAAAGCAGATGGAACAGAAGCTCCCCCGAGCTGCTTGCTCACCACCACGGCCGGGGTCAGGCAAGAACCTGCACCCTGCACAAGCAGCAGCTTCCCCCCCAAATGTGCATCAGGCTTCACGCTCTGATTGCTGTTTCCCTCCCTCTGGGAAGGAAAGTGAGGATTTCTGTTAACCTTTTACGCCTCCGGAGAACACATCTGTCACCATATCCCTGCACCTGCCACAGCCCTGGTGTGGAACGTACCAGCTCAACAGGTATGTGAACGCCCCGTGACCCTTGTGATAAAGGATCTGACCTAAACCAAAGGTTATGCAAGAGGCTCTCTGGCTTATTCCGATTCACAATCGAGGTGACAATCCTAATTTTCTCCCAAATTAGGAATTTTCTCAAAAGAGCTTTCCAGACAGTTCAACCAAAGGTTCTAAAATAAGCCACCAAAACAAAAACCAAAAACTCTTCTAGCCAGCATGGCTTGCACTCCTATGAAATGATGTGGCCTTCTTTCTTTTTTAGGGACTTTTTAAAAAACTCGTATTTTATATATAAGTTATATAATTTTACTCTATATAATTCCCCTCTCCCCCTCCAAAAAATCACATAATTCCCTCACCCACAAGCTAATACTGTTAATCTGAGGCATATTTTCCTTTAAGTTTATGCATTTAAAAAAATACTTTGAAACTGCATTATATAAAATTCTATTTTTTTGCTTAAAAATAGACGCTCTGGACAAAGTGTCCCAGCTGGGTGAGGGGGCTTTACAATACCTGGTGCCGAGATGCAGCTGGGCGAATCAGGACCTTGGCCGTGAGGGAGGGTGGGAGCTGGGTGCTAACAATCCTAGGTCACAGGAACAAAAACACCATGAGACAAAATACATCATAGGACTCTGAATTGGAAAGATTCCTAACACCCTAACTGGTGAGGATCTTGGCGGGGGGGGGGGGGGCACCTGGGTGGCTCAGTCGGTTAAGTGTCTGCCTTCGGCTCAGGTCATGATCCCAGGGTCCTGGGATTGAGCCCTGTGTCAGGCTCCCTGCTCTGCTCTCCCTCTCAAATAAATAAATAAAATATTTTTTTAAAAAAAAGATCTTGGGGACACAGCCGGTGGCAGTTTCAATTGGCAAAGCCCTTTATGGAGGGCACTCTGGCCATTCCTACCGAACTTCAAAATGTCCAAACCCTCTGATTTGCCTTGTACCAAGATGCATGCTGAAGAGTATTGATTATCGAAAAAATGGCAAAATCATTACAGAAATGGGTAAACCCCGCAAATGCCCATCAAACAGAGAGTAATTAAGGAAATCATGGCACAGCCTTAACACCAAAAGGTGTGTGGCGATTCTAAGAATGAAGTAGACCAGCATGGACTGACAGAGAAATCTCTACCATACACGCTGAGGAGCCCTGTGATCCCATTAACGGATGCAGCAAAAATAAACAGAAGCAATGTCCGTTGAGGTGCCGGAAACACAGGGAAAAGCAAAGGACGTGCCTCCACCTGCTAACAGTGCGTCTGGGCTCAGAGAAACTTGGGAACTGCGCTCTGTGTGTTTCTGTCTTGGTTCAGTTTTTTCTTTGTTGTTTTTTGTTTTTCACAATGAGACCCTGTTCACACATAAGGTGTATGAGAATGTGCCATGAGCAAGGGAGGAAAACATCATGCTTGATGCCATGCCACCAGTGAGCCTGGAGGCACCACGAGCAGGTTCAGAACCATCATCGTGAGCAAAGGGGAAAGGCATGATGGTGTGCTGTGCCGAGGGCCATTGGGAAGCAGTAGGTCCTTCTCTGTTGGCCCTCTCATTTCGTTCTTTCCTGGTAGAGAAAACTCAGCAAGCAACCAGCCTGGGGTCACAGGGCCGGGAAGTGAGGCCAGGACTGGAAACCCAGCCCATCAGGCCTCCAGAACTTCTCCAGTCACACATTCATCCAGTCATCAGTAAGCTCTGGGTGCAAGCAGCGGGCCCCCAGGAGGAGAGCTGCCTTGGACCAAGCGTGGAAGGGCCCTGAGGGCACCGGGCTCGCTCCAATGCCCTCCAACTACGTGAAGAGGTGTGCTGAGATCTCAGAGGCCAGCCGGGCGACGGACCCAGCCGAGAGGCCAGCAGGAGCCCGAGCAGAAGCAGGTATGGCCGCTCTGCAAGGCTGGCGACAGCCAAGTGCCCCGGAGCCTCGGGCAGCAGGAGGGGTCCACGGCAGGCTTCCACACCCCTTTACCCACAGTGCTGGCCGCTGGTAACCTGGGGATGCCCCATGCTGAGACTTACGTGGATCTCTCCAAAACTGCCTTTCATATTCCTAACCCTTTTGTGGACATAATTTCGAATTTCCTGGCTTTGCTGAAAGACAAGTATGTCCCCTAGGTCAAATCTAAACGACCTGATATTTGCCAAAGCAGCCTTCTTGGAACTGGCCAGAGACAGAGCTCCCCACGGGTGACCTGGAGATGGCCGGGCTGGTCAGTTCTGTGTTACAGGGAAAGGTGTCTGGCGTTACTCACAGTCCCTTATAGAGGATGCAGCCGGCTAGAATGCGAGGTGAACGCTGGCAGGCCTGCAGAATGAGGGCTGCCTTCAGCAACAACAGGGGTTCCACCTGTGCAGGGCGAGAAGCACAGCCACAAGTGAGCATGCTCGCCACCAGCCAAGCTGGGAAGGCGGGGAGGCTTTACAGAGTGGAGGGACGGGTGCTAAGCCAAAACCGGGGAAAAGGAGAAGGTACCACGTGGGAAGATCTGTGTCACGTCGTGGGTCTGCATTCCACCTCTCTATACCCAGAACTGCAGACGATGCAAAATGCCAAGTTCTTGGAACAGGGCGGCTTCTGCAGAAGCAGGAAGGTGTGGCTAATGTGGCCTATGGCCGCTCACAGGGGACAAGGGAGGTCTCCGCTCAGCAGACCCTGACTCGATACTGAGACCGGGAGGCAGCGGACGGGAGAGCCTACCCCTCAAACACAGGCTGCGGTGCCAGGTAAAACCACACGACCCCTCCGCTCCCCTCCCTCCGGAGCACAAGCCCTGCTGCCACAGAGCTAGCTGGCTTCGTGTGGCCTCATAACTCTGTCCCGTAACAGGCAATGAAAACATCGTGGGCTCTCACTCAGAGAAATACTCCTCAGCTCCAGGGTCCTTGTAAGGAGTCAGGTGCCTACAAGTCCCTAAAAATACCAGAGAAGGATCTGAACCCGGTCAGGAGTCGCCAGCAGTGACGAAAAGCCTCCTTCCTGTTTCCTGCTGGCAGCTAGAACCTGCGACACCATCGCCATCAGAATTCCGTGGCAACGGAGCAAGTTGTGGAGCTGACGCTCCTCTCTCACATTCTCGAGACAGTGCCCGGGCCCAGCCAGCCATTCGGCAAAGCTCTGGGGCCCACTTCAAACATTTCTCCCAACCGGAGCCAGGAAAACCCGCCCCCAATTCTAGCCGGAGTCGGGCTCTGTGAAGGCAGAGTCACGACGCCACATCCCTGTTGAAGGGACCCTCTCAGCTCCTGCAGTGAGACACGCGCACGGCCCACACATCTCCTCGGGGGCTTCTTAAGGGGGCACAGCCTCGCGTCTCCCTTTGGCCCTTGACAATGAGGATGTGATGCTCACCAGGATCAAGGCCACGGAGCAACGGGCAGTCAGGCTGGCCATACAAGCAGCCGGAGGCCGATGGAACGGCTCCCAAGCACTCTCTCCCAGACAGAGAGACCTCGTTTTTAAAATGTTACCACTGGGCATTTTTGATGTTGAGAACACAAGGCAACCGTAGAATATCCTTATCAAGATAGACGGGGACCCTCAGATGCCAGAGTTCCACGCTTCTGGGACACTAGCGAAATAACACCCCCTCTACGGTATACACTTCGTACCGTTTCAAGCACTGTCTCACTATACCGTCTGCCAACAGTTGTGGGAGAGGGCACTGGGACAGCAGCGTGTGGGTCTGGGATGCGGGCTCTGTTCCTTTACATGAAATGGGTACGGGGGATGAGGGTGTTACTTGAGTCCGGTCCAGGTTCCAGAGGGAACTGAATATCTTGTGCAGATCACTGGTGTTCTTCAGAATCTGTTCAATGAAGGTGTCCCATTCAGCGCACAGGTCTTCCTGAGAGCGGTCCTAAAACGGGAGCCACCTGAGGTCAGCGTCTGAGATCCCGCGAGACACACCCTTTGGCAAGGCTCCCTACTCCTACAAAACTCGTTCCTCACACAGGAAAGTGGCCAGAAGGCAGGGCCCGCTTTAAACCTCCTATGCACACGAGACCCCCCACCTGCCGCCCCCTGAGAACTCAGCCACCACAGACCCGGCGCATGTGCTGGGGGCGGGTGGCAACCTGCTCTTTCCAACAGTCCCCGGGAGGAGGACATGGGGACAGACATTTGCAGTGGATGTGACCTACACCACTGGGGAACAAAGGCATCTGACAGGGGCTCCAAGGCCCCTTGACCTTGTTGCTAGATATGCTGTATTTACGCCAAGTAGAACAGCCCCTAGAGTAACGCTGTGTTCTGGCAACATCAGGTTTGCTGAAAACGCCTCGCCACCATCTCCATACCTTGTAAGCCAGAGAAACAGGCCCATTGTAAAAATTAAAGACTCCAATGAGCTGATCCAGAAACTGCTTGCAGCTAATGTCAGGGAGCTCCACAGCACAGCCCAGGACCTGGAAAGAAGGAAACCAGAAGACGGACATTTTCCTTTGCTTTGAGTACAAGCGTGAAAACCCGGCACCCGGGGCTCTGCAGAGCTCGAATTCACTGACTCACCGATGGGTCTGCCCCAGGCCCACATCGTCCAGCCCAGCTGGTCTCCAAGACAACAAGTACTTTTTGTATCTCCTCATGTTGTCTCACCTGGGATGCCCTCCTTTCTCCTATTTGTCCACAGCTCTCCTGTCCCCTCGGTGCCTGCCACAGATTCCAGCACCTTCGTGGTGCCCATTCTGATCACTCTAACCAATGCTGATGTCTTTTCTGAGCCCTTACATTATCAGGACTGTTATCTGGGCACTGGATGCTTAATGAGGGTTTCACTACAAACACTGGACGGGACTCTGACCAATTCATGAATGGCATTCTCGTCTCCCCGGCTGGGTCAAGTGCTTCGGGGAGGGAACTGACCGATCATCACACCGTTCTCTAGAGCCCCGGAATACTGCTACATGTGCTCGGTCAGAAAGGAATCTGGCTGTATGTGTAAAGAGCCTGAAGAAAGTTTGTATTCTTTCACTCAGTGACTCCACCTGTAGGAATCTTTCCTGAGGGAATCACCAGAAACTTAAAGCAACAAAAAAACCCTGGCAGAAAACAGACGCATTCCCTCTGAATGGAGGCTCCCCCTAGGGCCAGGATCTTTGTTTTGTTCACTGATGTAATCCACAGCCTGGCACACGGTCAGTGCTTACCTCTTCCCTGATTAATCTATAGATTGGATGTAACTCTAATCATCATCTGCCATCTTTCCTTCAAAAACTGACACGCTGATTCTACAAGGGAAACTTACAAAGGACCTAAAATACCCAAAGTTGTCCTGGAAAAGCATAAAGCTGGAGGACTTAGACTATCCAATTTCAAGACAGTGCGGTACTTGGATGGGATCTTCTAATAGATCGATGGAAAAGAGGAGAGCCCAGAAACAGACCCCCCCCACTGCAGTTGTCACTTGATCGTCAACAAAGGAACCAAAGGAATCCAAGCGGGAGAGTTTTTTCAACCATGGTGCTGGAACCACTGGATATCCGTAGGGAAAAAGAGGACCTTTGACCTCTATTTCACACCACACACAAATATTAATCCAAGATGGGTTACAGACCTAAGTTTAAAAGCTAAAACTAGGAAGCTTGCCCAGAAAGTGGGAGAATGTCTTCTCCTACAGGGTAGGGAATGATTTCCGACAGGATACAGAGGGCAATAACCACAAAGGATAAAACTGGCAAGTTAGACTTCATTAAAATGAAAACATTCTGGGGGTGCATGTGACTCTTGATCTCCAGGTCATGAGTTTGAGTCCCACGTTGG